GATGACTCTATTACAGAATTCTTTTTATTTTAATATAATATAAATAAATCTTATTACTTACAATACATATTTCATAATCTAAATATGATAGAATATAACTTATCTTATATGAGTTTTGTATAATATTTTTTTGTACAAATAGTGATATAAAAAGCATTACCGTTAAAGAAAATATACACACTTGTATATGCATAATGATACATAAATCATAATATTATCAAAACTTAATCGTTGTTAAGCTTTTCGAATTTTTCTTCTGAATGTTTGACTATAGTCTTACAAAGCATAGCTTTAAACTGCTTCCTGATTCTATTACCTGTATATTGTAGCAATCAATACTGAGCGATATATGTATCTCGTCTTCTAGAATTGAAGATAATAAATGAAATATCTTGCATATATTGACAAGTGATATACAAGGCGATTACTCGCTATTATGTTTTATTAATAAATTTTTAGAAATTTATTGTCGTCTCTGGATTGTATTACGCTCTCCATCTAGATATAAAAATGAAAATAGTATGTCTCTTGTATAATAAAAATTGCAAATAAAAGTAATTCTACTAGCTATTTTGCATTGGTACTATTGTACTGTTGTACTATATATTTATATTACGTAAAGATACAGATATTAAATGCAGAGTAAAAGAAATATAAAAGAAATGTCATCGAGACGAGAAATATCATCACCGTCGAAGAAACACATCACAAGTCTATAGACATTTATCGGTGCACCCTCTTGAAATAATATTACCTGATTCTTCTTATCGTATGATAGAAATTTTGTCAAGTTAAAGTTAGAGACGTATCGTTGTAAATATCGTTCAGAGATTTCTAACAATTAATATCAGTATTGACAACACACATTAAATATTCAAATACAATTATACGTATATATTTTCTTCATTTTTTAATTAAACGAAAGAGCTAATAATGCACATTTTGAAATTGACACGTTCAATCGTTATAGTCGCTGGATGCTTTCGACCACTTTCGTGGACATCTCTGTTTAAACAGACAATATATAATATTTACAGGTTATATGTAATTAGCATGTTATATTTTTTCTCAATGTGGCAATTTATGGACATTGTTTTAAATGTTGATAATCCTTACGACTTCACTAATAATTTAAATATGCTCTTGACTTCATCTGCTGCATGCTATAAAATGTTTATCGTGTGGTTAAATTATGAGCAGATTGTAGCGTTAATTAATTGTCTTATTGAAGAACCATTCAAACCATTAAATTTGGGTGAGATAAAAATTCGGCAACAATATGATAAAATAATACGGTAAATATATATCTTAATTAAATAATTTTTAATCTTTTTAATGTAACATTATTCTATTATAGACGTTTCTTTTAATATTATATATAGATACGTATAATAAGAAAAATTAAAAAAAATGTATTTAAGATTATAAATTGACTTAAAAATTTAATTTTATTATCAGAAATTTAATATATTTAAGAAATTGCACAGCAAATTTGTGAATAATTTAATAATAAGTTAATTTAAAAAAATTAAATTTAATTATAGTACTATTAAAAATAGTAGTAGGTACATCATTTATTATAAAAAATGAATGCGTACAATAATTTAAAATTCATATTAAATTTTAGTATATAACTTGTACATAACAATTTTTTTAATTATTTTCTAGAAACAACACGTTACGTTATACGAGCTTGATCGGAACGACATGCTCGTTCATTGCCCTCATGTCATTATTCACCGATTTTAGACACAAAAGATTAACGTATAGAGAATGGGTACCATATAATTACTCGTCTTATATGACTTATTATTTTACATACGCTCAGCAAATGATAACTACTTTCCATTGCGCTAGCGTAAACGTCGCTTGTGATACTCTCCTATGTGGCTTGTTAATGCACATATGTTGCCAGCTCGAGATCTTGGAATATCGCCTAAAGAATATATCAAATAATGAATTTACTCTGGGTTACTGCGTACGCCATCATAATCGAATTTTTGAGTTAGTTACCATATATTTGCCAGAAAATTATTTATCGTTTAACATTGCTGTCAATAGTATTTTTTAATAAAATGATGATAAAGAAATCAAATAGTCTTCTTCTACTTTTCCGTCCATATTTTTTTATGATTGCAAAGGAAAAAAGGAAAAAAAGTAGATCTAAAGTTTTTTACATTAAGCCAAAAAAATGTATACCCTTCATATAATCGCTAAAAAATTGTATACATTATTATTACTTCCGTCATGTCGCTAATAGATATTTTTACTATCTCCTTATTAAACACGTTTTGTTAATTTAATTTCCAAATATTTCATAATTTTTAATGTTGCGATAAGTAATGATCTAATAATAAAATTCATTTATGACGACATATACGTTATTAATTTTATGCATAAATATTATAGCGACCTAAAATAAAAAATTATATTGTAGATATGCTCAATTAGTGAATGTGAGATTTACAAAAATAGTCGGATTTCAGTTTATGGCAAGTACGATGGTAATTTGCTGCAATTTGTATCAACTGACCAGTTCGGCTTTGAGCGCAAATCATGTTCCATTAATTATGTATACATGCTGCATGCTTACACAAATATTTATTTATTGCTGGTTTGGCAACAAAGTCAAATCCAAGGTATATCAAATAAAACATTATTAAAGACGATAAATAAAATATTTTACGTATTATTCTGCAGAGCCTTCAACTAACGGACAGCATCTTTCAAATTGAGTGGCCAATTTTAGACAATAGCACTAAGAAGAGCCTCTTGGTAATTATGAAGCGTGTAACAATACCCATTGAAATTTCTACTGTATATATTCTAATCATAAATTTGGATTCTTTTGTAGCGGTCAGTATAAAAAAATTTTATTTTAATGTAGTTAAAACAGTTCTTGAATAAACATTTAATGAATTTTTGTGTTTCTAATTCCAATATATTAAAATAATAAAAATTGTTTTATTAAATAAGAGAATTTAGAAGCGTTTTCATATACAAATAATTTATTATAAACTTGTTTATAAAAACTAATAATAAATTTAAAAATAATAATATATTTATATATATAATAATTTTAACTATTTTTCAATATTTTAGTTGCTTAAAACATCATACTCTGTTTACAATTTATTGGTACGAGTGCAAGAATACTAAAAATTGGGAAACAAGCAAAACAAATGCTTTTTTTATTTATTTGATATAATTAAAGAATGAAAATAAGATATAATTGTTGTTAATATCTTAGTAATAAAAATAAATATAACCATACAAAGCTTTTTATATTTAAATATATATATAAAATATATATATATATACAGGGTGTTAGTTAAGTATGTTGCCATACTTAACAGATTCTTTGGTTTATTTCAAGTAAAAAAGTCCATATAAACATATGTTCTAAACTGATTAGTTTCCGAAATAAAAAAATTTAAACGTGTAATAATAATCTGTTTATTTGAAAGAAATACAGCTTGAATTAGTTAAAAACTAGTCAAAAACAGAAAAACAAAAACAGGCTTTAGTTCTTCTGATGAAATAAAACAATTAGATGAATTGTTGAAAATGTCCACCTTGCGCCATGATATAATACATCCATCGAGCCTTCTTCTCAACGATTGACGTATATATGCTCAAAGATACCAGGTGTGTTACATATTGCCTCGCATGAAGCAACTATTCGATTCCTCAAATCATTTTCATTCTCAATTGGGGTGGTATAAACCAATGATTTCAGATGCCCCCAAAGGAAATAATCCAAAGGATTTACCGTTTCGTCAAATATTTGCGAACATTCACCTGTATTTCGGAAACTTGGCCGTTTAGGACACATGTTTATATGGACTTTTTTACTTGAAATAAACCAAAGAATCGCTCTGTTGAGTATGGCAACATGCTTAACTAACACCCTGTATATATATATATACACATAGGTATATGACATTGCCTTTTATATTTTGAAAGTATTTTTACATATATTACTGAAAAATATATATAAATATTGTTATAAAATTTATTTGATATTGTCACACTTTCTGTACTTAAAATATAATTTTATATTTATATATTACTGTAATCCGATTTGAAATATGTAATACCTCATAAACATATCATAGATTTTATTTCAATATCTTTATGCGGAGTTACAAGAAATCATTATCATAAAAAAAATCATATGGTGCTGTTAAAAAAAAAATCGAAATTGCATGATCGCATAACAACAATGTAACGAAAATAGAACGCCAAAGAAATTTGATTATTATATTAAATTCTTTTTTCTGTATAACAATAGTCTTACGAATACGTATCTCTAACGTGAACTCCGTTTAAGTAGAGGAGGTATGTTGCGCGTATAGGAATCAATATTAGAATGTCACGATTCTCTTCGAAAGATAGAAGATAATGCAATGAAATATGTTGTACAGCGACGCTAAATATATCAAGATGTTGTTGAAGTTCGCATCTCATATTCTATTGATGAATCCTTGAAGAATATTTTTCCTTCTTTCGCTATGTTATAATTTTGTTTTTGATGTAGCATTAAAAATATTATTTCTATATATAATAGAATTTATGTAGAAATAAATTATCCAATTATCTTAAAATACGGAAATATTACATTAAAAACACTTACTGCAAAGGTATTGTGGAGCTACAGATATTAAATATGCATATATAAGTAGGAAATATGGATGATAAAAAATTTTACCGTCGGAAAGTAGTGTCGTAATTCATAAGTCTATAGACATTCTGCAGTGTACTCTTCTGAATTATGTTATCTCTGCATCTTACTTCTCGTATAAAAGAGATTTTTACTGTATTTTACTTCTCATACAATAGAGATCAAGTTAAAATTATCTCGAGAGCAATGAATATTGTTCGAAGGTTTCCATAATTACTAACAAAATTAATGACACACGTTATATAACTGATCTGTTGTACGTACGTCTTTTGCTTTTTTTTTTCTTTCCTTACGCAATTAAACTTCTACTCGTACAATGAATATTCTAAAATTGACATATTCAACCGTTATAATATCTGGATGTTTTCGACCGCAGTCGTGGACATCTTTATTTAAAAAGATAGTTTATAATATCTACAGATTATATGTAATTGCTATGTTATACACGTTTACAATATTGCAAATTATGGACATTATTCTATACGTTGACAATGCTGATGATCTCACAAACAATCTGAATATGATGCTAACTACATTAGCTTCATGCTACAAAATATTTATTATGAGTATTAATTATGAGAATTTTGTAACGTTAATTAATTATCTTACTGAAGAGCCATTCAAACCATTAGATTCAGATGAGATGAAAATTCGACGACAATATGATAAAATAATACGGTAAATGTTTTATAATTAAATAATTTTTAATCTGTTTAATTTAATTTTTTTTTAATATTTTTTTGATAACTATTTTAATTATTATTTTATAATATTTTTATGTACGTGCACACATGAATATATATAAGTATTTTTAATATAGATTTTTTTTAGATATGTAACTTGATTTAAAAAGTTATTTGTTGATAACTAAAATTATTAAAAATCTGCACATAAAAATTTATTTAATAATAAAATATTTTTTTCCACAATAAAATAAGATTAATTAGCAGTATTACTGGAAAATATAACAATATATTGTCTATTATAGAAAATAAACATAAAGTTTTTTAAAATATTTCATAGTTTAAATATGTTATAGTTTGCATTAGAAATAATATAGATGTAATAATTTAATCACTTTTCAGGAACAACACGTTACGATACATAATATTGGTTGGGACAACGTGTACGTTTGTCGTTTCGTCTTCGCTATTTACTAACTTTAGACACAAGAAACTGAATTATAGGGAATGGATACCATTTGACAATTCATCTTATATTGTATTTTGTTTTGCATACGCTCAACAAATGTTAAGCGCATGTCATGCCGCCGTCGTAAATGTCGCAATAGATAGTCTCATGTGCGGGTTCTTGATGCACATATGTTGTCAAATCGAGATCTTGGAATATCGCTTAAAAAAGTTTTTGGACAACCAACTTATTCTGGGTTATTGCATACGCCATCATAATCGAATTTTTGAGTTAGTTATCATTTAAATGCCGGAAAATTATATATCATTCATCATTGCTACTATGTGTGAGTTATTTAACAAAACTGTGGTGGAAATCATATATCTTCTTAATTTCTATTTTTATTATTTATAAAGAAAAAATAAAAAATTCTATACAATTTTGGAATGGTTAATAGCATTGCAAAATCATTAAAATATATCAAAATATATTTATGTGATTTACTCACATAAAACGGTTTTAATTCCAATCTTATTATCATCAAAATATATTTTATTATTTATACTGTTTACTATTCATACTATTCATATTGTTTTTAAATATAATTGCCTAATGTAATTATTTATTGCATACTGATTTCTACCACGTTTTTATCACGATATTTAGTATGGACATTTTTATTAGTGCTTTATTAATACTTTAATATGTTAATTAGTTCTCATATATGTCACGAATTAGTTTATAATTCTTAGTATTCCAATCATAATTATTGCAATAATATTGATTTAGATTCTTTATACCCTTCAAACTACCTTAAGACTACCTTTAAACTATTATTTGTTTGATATATATATATATATACAAATATTATGACTTTATATGAACAAAATCTTGATTGCAGGTTTGCTCGGATAGTGAATATAAAATTTACCAATATAATTGGATTTCAATTTATGGCAAGTATGATGACATTATGCTCAAATTTGTATCAACTGACTAAGTCAACTTTAAATGCAGATCATTTTCCGTTAATTATATACACAGCCTGTATGTTAACGCAGATATTTATTTATTGCTGGTTTGGAAATAAAGTCAAATTAAAGGTATATCTAAAACAGGCTATTAAAAACAATAAATATATAATATTTTACATATTATATTCCACAGAGTCTTCAATTAATAGATAATATTTTTCAAATGGAGTGGCCAATCGTGAACGATAGTGTAAAGAAGAGTTTATTAATAATTATGAAACGTGCAATGATACCCATTGAAATTTCTACTGTATATATCCTGACCATGAATCTGGATTCCTTTGTAACGGTCAGTATAAACATTTATCTCAATGTATATAATATAATTTGCCTAAATAATTTCAAAGTACTTAAAAGTTTCATTGCTGCTTATAATAATGCACTTTACAATTATATTTAATTATCAATAAATAAAACTTATCACTTTTATAAATTTGCTTGTATGAATTATTACTGATCTATATATAAATATTATTGTACTTGTAATAATCTTAAGTATCTTTTATTATTTCAGTTGCTTAAAACATCATATTCAGTTTATAATTTATTAACGCGAGTGCAAGAATAATAAAAATAAAAAATTAAACAAAATAAACCGTGTTTTAGATTAAGTTGCACGTAATAATTAAAAATAAATTGTAATAAGTTGGTAATAATTCTAATACTTATTCATTAGAAATATTTGTAAGCAAATACATATAAATGTATACGACATCGTCTTTTATATTATATTTTGGAAATATTTTTATATGTATAATTTACCGAAAAAAAATATATAAATGTTACAAAATTTAAATTTAATATCGCAAAAGTCTGTGTACTTTGATATGTACAAATTTTAATATCTTTATATGTATATTATCATAATCGGAGGAAAAAAAGGTAATATCTCTTATAAAAAGCATTTACATATTATTGATTTTATTACATTGATATATAACGTAGATAATGTTGTAAATCTGCCTACTTTATCTCATGCATGGGGTAAAGTGAAATGGATGTTGAATGCTTACCTAAATAATGCAAATTTTAATTTTGAACAAATTAAGAATATGGAAAACGAAATTATTATAAATTTTCATAAATAATAAATGTTTCAATATATTTATTTCAATTTATTATTCTTTACAATATCAGTTTTAATTACACTGCGTACGATATCCGACGTACGACAATACGATATCCAATAAGAGAATTCTAGTTAGCGACATTTTTATCTTCAGGAAACAAATTCTTCTATTTATTATTACACTTGCGTCATTCGCGAATCGCGACAGTCGCCATTGAAGAATTGGGGCAAAACGGGATATTCTATTTTGTCCTATCTCACTTTGCTCCAATTGTTAATATCACTGTTATGTTGTTTTGTTGAACACAATTGATTTATAACAACAATCTAATTGTATTAAGATGAAGCTTAGACTATATATGTATATTTAATTAATTTTGGAAATTTAGAGTAGAAGGTACTGAATTGAATATTATACTTATCTTTATAAAAATATACAAAGCGAATATTACAAATCGATACTGCGCACCACTACGTTGTATGCTATCACGTCAATGATTCGACGAAAATGGCATCTATCGCCTGCAACGTGTTCTTTGGAACACAAAACATAATTCAATTTATCACGATTGAGATATCGTAATAAGCGGGCTAAAAAAGGATAATATTCCGGTTTACTCTGCTATTTCGCTTTGTCACAATCTCCCCTAATGAAATATTCTGTCTTCGATATATCAAGATATAATATATGTATATTCAGGCATTGCAAGATATTATTTACATCTCATTATACCTTATTAATGTACTTATAGAACTCTTCTTTCTTTGCTGTATTAGAATTTTTTTCCTCTATATAGGTATATGATATATAAAAATAATTGATTTCTTTTGTATAAGAAAAATTGCATGTACAAATAATTCCTCTTGCATAAATATTTCGCATAAATATCACTTTAAAGAGAGTTGCTAAAAATTTGATATTATAAAGGTAAAGTTATTAAATATGTATGAAGAGAGAGGATATACTCTCTATTGTCAAAGAATCGTGTCACATGTCTATAGACGTTTCTAAGTGCACTATCTTGAAATTATGTTCCTGTCTTCACTTCTCGTGCAATATACAGAATCTATCAAGTTGAAGTTATCTTAAAAGTAATAAGTATTATTTAAAAATTGTCAAAATTACTGATACAATACAGAACATACGTTACACAAGCAAGCACGTTTTATACGAATATTTTTTTAATTTGAACAAGGGATAAAAATGCATGTCTTAAAATTTACATTTTTAATCGTTACGTTTGTTGGGTGCTTTCGACCGCTATCGTGGACATCGCTATTTATGCGTGTTATTTACAATCTCTACAGACTATTTATAATTACCATTTTATATATTTTTGCTTTTTTACAATTTATGGACATTATGATAAACGTCGACAATCCCGACGATTTTACTAACATTTTATATATGGCGTTGAATGTGTCCGTTTCTGGATTTAAATTACTGATAATGTGGCTAAATTATAACAATGTTACGACATTAATTACTGCACTTAACGAAGAACCATTTAAACCGTTAGATCCAGGCGAATTGAAAATTCGTCAAAAATTTGATAAAATAATACGGTAAATATTTATATATTTATATATACATATTTATGTATACCAACCTTTATTTAATAATGGTTTTCTTTTGGATATCAACTTATAGGTCTAACACATTACGTTATTCAATTTTGATTGCGTCATCATGGACATTCATGAGTTTGATGTCGTTGCTTACTGACTTTAAACACAGAAAGTTAACGTATAGAGAATGGGTACCATACGATTATTCGTCTTACATGATGTTTTGCATTACGTATGTTCACCAAATTCTAAGCACGTTTTATTGTGCTAGCGTGAATGTCGCCTGCGATACCCTCATATGTGGTTTCTTAATGCATGTATATTGTCAAATTGAAATCTTGGAATATCGCTTGAAGAAAATCTTATGCGATCAAAGTATTTTGGACTACTGCGTACACCATCATAACAGTATATTTCAGTTAGTCATCCTAATAATATTTTTCAAAAATCGTTATATATATTGTATAATTCAGGATTTTCGTGATATTAATTTATAATTTCATGACTTAATTACTGCATTAAGAGAAATAAGAATATATATTAAATTTTCTTATCTATGACCGTTAAAAATCACAAATTTTAAGTCAAGATAATTAAATAGTATAACTTATTTTTATTTTCCCCCTTTTATATAAAAGTAATTCATATATATTTATTTTTATTATTATGTTGTTAAAGTTCAATCGGCAAGTTTTTTTAAACTATAATCACTATATAATGTATGTATAGTTTTTTCAAATAATTTGTCATGCTTTTGGTTCGATACATACAATTATCGTTATATTATAAAATAAAAAACTTGATTGTGCAGATTTGCGTATTCCGTAAATGCAAAATTCTCGCAAATAATCGGATTACAGTTTATAATAAGTACACTGATAATATGCTCTAATTTGTATCAACTGAGTCAATCGTCATTGAACGCAGACAGTATTGGGTTAATTGGATTCACGTGCTGCATGTTAACAGAAATATTTCTTTATTGTTGGTTCGGACACAAAATAAAATTAAAGGTATATCTGATTAACTAATTAATGAAGAGAACATTTTTTTTGTATAAAAGATATTTTGTATAAGAAATTGAATTAATCATCTTGTCATGTATTACTGTTATGTTATCCGTAAAATATACATTAAATTACGTATTATTAGTTATTAAATAAAAATATTATCAACAATAACATATATTGTCTATAAGTATTTAGAAATAATATTTTATATAGTCAAAACGCTCAACGTTAAACAAATATTATTTCGTACATTAATTTATAGAGTGTTCAAGTGGCAGATAGCATTTTTCAAATAAAGTGGCCATTGCTAAATAATAGCGTCAAAAGTAATCTCCTAATAATTATGAAACGCACTACAGTACCTATTGAATTTACTACTGCACATATCGTCAGTTTAAATTTGGACTCTTTTGTGGCGGTGAGTATGTCAATTTTATATAGATAATATCTATCTCTCGTTGACTATGAATGAAGTAATGCTTCCATTACTTACAAGGGAAGTTTCACAACTGTCCGGAACCGATTTGATTCTCCATGTTTAAGAGGTAAAACACCCCTTTGAAAAAAAAATACTGTTTTTGTTTTCAAAGGGGTGTTTCACTCCTTAAACATGAGTTAGGGCACGTATAAAAAAATACGTGTCTCTTAAATTTTCGTGTTTAACAACATATTTCATGGAAAATCAAATCGGTTCCGGATAGTTGTGAAATTTCCCTTATTAGATTTTTATTACATTTATTACTATTTTAGCTGCTCAAAATGTCGTATTCCGCTTATAGTTTGTTAGTACAAGTACAGGAAAAATAATACATATGTAACGTGTTCTGGCAATTGCAATATAGTTGCAATATATATATATATATCTGTAATAAAAACGCAATAAAAATATTATGATATTATGTTATTGATAGCAGATTTAGCCTCTATTGAATTTTCATTTCCATAAAATGTTCGTTAATAATATTTCTTACTTAAAATATCATATTAAATAGAATATAATGCAGTAAAATATTATTAGTTAAACATATTGTAATTTATTAATAACAGTATTAATACTTATATAAAAATACGATTTATATAATAAGTCAATATTTAATTATAAAAATAAAGAAAAATGTTTAAATTTAAAATAAGAGAAAAAAATCCTTTCACAATTTTTATATTTTCTTGTTGTATTTTTATTTTGCTGGAAAATAAAGACTATGAAAGTATTAGACAATTCAAACTCAATATTGTGATTAACTACAGAAGAAATCCAAGTAAAAGAATGATATAAAAAAATAACATAGTAACGCTTATATTTCGTTCTAGTCTCTAAACATCACTGTTGCTTAACAGCTCATTCTGGCTGTGTTCCAAAATTTGCTGCTAGTGCACGCAACGTAAACTAAATTTTCAGTAGTGGCAGTAAATTTTGGAACACTGCCTCTGTTATTTCAAAACTCTATTTTCATATGTATATGTAGATACTTGTTGGACAATATGGGTTTACACACACACAGATGCATATAACGTATTATGCAACAAAATTTATTTTCATCTTGTTTCTTCGATTTCTATGTACTAGTACACTTAAAATGATTCTTATTGTAACATAACTTTCTCCATTTTTTATGATCTGCGTAAGAAGTTGTTTATAAAATGGCGATATTCTAATGCGGAATCATTATAGATATTATGATAACAAGGAACAGAATATCCTATAATGAGCATATTATAATAAGTATATATATTACAATTTCATAAAAGTAAAATGAATTTAGTTCTCAAGATTCGAAAATATTGTTTTTGTATATAACGATGTTTTTTTTATATAACGACGGACAATAAGAAAATATAATATCTCGTAACCGATATACATGGATAAGAAAATTACATTGAAATATGTGAAAAATGTCATAATAAAGTTGGAAGAGATGTGTTTTTTCAAACAAATATTTTTCTCTATTGTCTCGCAGTGTTATTTTTGAAAATAGACATTAAATAATTCTGTAATAAAAATTATATTTTACAAAAATTTGATATATGTACATATTGTTATCCAATATGGTTATTAATATTAAAAGAAGTAAATATTACGAAAAATTTCTAAAATTAAAAGGTTTTATAGCAGTATAACTAATTTCTCATAAAAAATGCAATAAAGTAATACCTTTTAAAGTATTTAAGCAAATATGACTAGCAAATTAATTAAAAAAAATTTTGCAAATGTATGTTACGTATAAAAATAAAATAATTATAGAGAGTGATATGTATTTAACATTCCTACTATTGCAATGTTTTACATTCATACATCTATAAATTCAATTTGATCTTTGACATCATAAATGAATTATTTTTATAGAACTTTAATCACCTATTTTTTGACATAAGAAAAACATTAATAAATCAACTAAAGAAACATTAAACATTGTTCAAAATTATTATATGCAGTGAGTATTTAGATATTTGTAATGTAAAATGGAATACATTATATATTACACTTACTACATAAAACTTGCATAAATGTTAATAATCTGTAACAAATCATGACTTTATACACTTTTATTTATGTTCAAGCAAAAATATCAAGAATTCATCTGAAAGAGTGCACAATATCACATAATAGTTAGAACGTAGATACTATGACAGGAAATGTGATGGTAATAGCTTGTAACTGAGTTTACGGATAGCATTAATGTTTTACATAGATAAGCTATAGTCGCTGCTCAATTAATATTTAAAGAATTTGTTTTTTCGTGTATCTTCATTGTATCATAGAATAATGTTGTAGTATTACCGATGGTGGGTTATAAATAAGATATTTTACAATAAAGAATACAACAAAGGAAAAGTATCAAGTACATCGAAGATAGTTTATGACTACTGCTCTATTGATGATAATTTAAAGAATTTATTTTTCTATATATCTCTCTGACTGTATATTCCTTACTTCTTTTATACAGGATTGTCCGCGATTGTCTCTGCAAAAATAACATAATTTCGTAATAAAGGTATTATTTCGGAAGAATGTTTTACTTTTCAATTCTCGGGAATATTATTTCACGAGAGGACTGTTGCAAGTCTATTATTATGATAATAACATAGATACTTTATATGAAGAGGGAAGTTGGGCGAAATGTCGTTATCAAATTGAGAGACTATAGACATTAGGAGATTGTTTCCTTGTAACGTCATTCGACTTGTCACACAACGTACAGCGAATATTCGATTAAAACTTGTGAGGTATTCAACGAACTGTTCAAACAAATCAATCAAAATTTTAGTAAGTTTTAATGTATAAAAAAATAGAATATTTCACATAAACATAATAATAGTATCATATAATATTGTTATTATATCATAGTAATCCTGTTGTTATGTTACAGTAATTCCATTGTAATAATAATAAGACTTTTATTTATTTTATTATTATTTTTACATTTTTGTATCTAATTATTAACATACATAAAAGTAATTAATTAGCGAAGTACATTTAGGGAAGTAATCATTTAGGGAAGTACACAATCAAATATCCCTTAATCTAATATTGTAAATACTGTTTACATACATGTAATATGTGAAAAGACAATTAATCTCGATCTACTAATTGCCGCTTATTAGTACATTATCATAATAACCAAAATTTGTAATAAATAAGTGCATATACATTAATCAAAACAGTGATTGATGTTGGGCAAATGGATGTTGAGAAGTGATGGAAAGAAAAGCGAAATGCCTGTCTTGAAATTTACGCTCACAGTTTTAGCGGTCGCAGGATGCTGGCGACCAACATCGTGGACATCGCTGTTTAGACACATAATATATAACGCTTATACAGTGTCAATGATTATAACATTATACACCTTTGCAATGACTCAAATTATGGAGTTGATATTGAGAGCCGACAACGCTGACACAATTGGCGACGCCTTGTTCAACGCTTTGATTTCGCTTCTGGCATGCTACAAGGCAATTGTTATACGGATAAATCACGATAGTATTATAATGTTAATTGATAATCTCGTCGAGAAGCCATTTAAACCGGTGGATCTGAGCGAAAACATGATTCGGGAGAAATTCGATAAGAGAATAACGTAAGTTTCTTTCAGCATTTTATAATTAAATTATATTAAAACTGTTTAAATTATATTACATTTTATATATAAATGATTTGTAGGAATAATACATTATATTATTTAATTCTCGTCTTGATAACTGCCACTTATATGATCTTGCTTTCGATATTCACGAATTTTAAGAATGGAACTTTAATGTACAGAGCATGGTTACCATTCGACAGCTCAAAATCCGCGCTATTTTATTTAGCATACGCTCATCAGATATTATCTCTAATGTTTATCGGACTTATTCATCCCACATGTGACAATTTAATTTGCGGATTATTGCTGCACATCTGCTGTCAAATCGAGATTTTAGAGTATCGTTTGTCGAATATTGCGAATGACCAAGAAAATCTGCGCAATTGTGTACGCCATCACATATATATATTTGAGTAAGTTACATATATATTCGCATACAAATGTGTATTTGAGTTATTTTTCTAACCCTAGAGTATTATTTATATTTCTTTAAGATTAATATATTCTTATTGAAATTTTTCATTTTTTTATCTTCGGTACAAAAAAGTATAGAATATGCGTGTTATCAACATAAACTAATTTTCATTAAAAATAATAGAAACTGTTATAAAGACATTGGAAAGATAAGATATTTTCTATGTTAAAATATTAAATACATAACAATGTAAATTCATTAATTATATTAGATATTCTTAATAAAATCTGTAGATGAATTGAAAATGTTCTCTGTAATTTTAGATACGCGTATATACTAAATGATAAATTTGGCAAAATAATTCCTAGTGAGTTCTTAATGATCACAGTAGTAATGTGCTACAATTTAATTCATATGGCTTTTAGAGCGTCCAATACCGTTTCTTATATACAAGATATTATGGTTATAGCTACTACTCTAGCTCCAATTTTTTATTATTGCTGGTTTGGCAACGAAATCAAGCTTAAGGTAGTTCTAGTAACTATAGTTATAATTTCATAACTATTAATCATAGGCTATATATATATATATATATATACGTTTGCACCGTGCGCTTACGATAGGTATACGATAGGTGTCTTTATTTAACCTATAGGATAAACAAGGACATCTATTGTATAGGCTGCGGCTTAATGGCACGGTATAAACGTACACTAAAAAAAAATAGTCTGGTTAGATTAAATAGTAATTCTAGTGGAAAACGGACGAATCAAAATTTTCTGGTTAAATCAACTAAAATTCTAGTTGAGTAACCTAGAATTCTGGTTGATAGATATAGTTATTCTGGTAAAAATAAGAATTTTAGTAGATTTTATCAAAAATATTATATCAATCAGAATTCCGGTTAGATTCAACTAAAATTCTAATAAATTTAACCCCAGAACATTCTTATTCGTCCATTTTTAACCAGAAATTTTTTTCAATGTAGTCATAATTATGTGGGGGGGAAAAAAAAAAGGGTTGCGAAATTGACATATCTACAAAAAGAAGAAAATAAACACAATGTATATGTACATATATAATATATCAGCTGTATCGTTAGCCGTATTTACAAGCGTATTAAATTATGCGGTTGATAAAACATTCTTCCATACATAAATATATATATATACATATACTTACATATACATCATATATATATTTTATATAAAGAGTAATATTGTATATAATATACTCATATGCAATTTTATTATAACTTTATCTAGAGCCTTCAATTATCAAATAGTATTTATAATATGGAATGGACTATGTTCAGCAATAATATGAAGAAAGGACTATTAATGATTATGAATCGTGCTACAATACCAATTGAATTTACTAGCGCAGACATTATGCCGGTGAATCTTGACTCTTTCGTAAAGGTTTGTATGAGGAACTTATTCTTTCAATGTAATAAACAAATAATTTGCTGAATAAATTTGTCATTAATTATATAAGTGTTTAGGTACTTAAAACGTCATATTCTCTTTTTAATGTAATGATACAGTCGCAGAAACAGTAAAATAGCACGAAATTGAAAATTGTTATTAATAATAAATATATCCTGAATTTATTATATATTATTGAAGTCATCAAACATGACAGTAATTAATTAATTAATGCTAATGGCAAATTTTTGAAAAAAAATGTCATAAAATTATAAAAGTACATTAAATAATAGTTAATATATTAGCAGAGAGAAACGCGTGTACCCGATGGAATGAGCCAAATATAAATAAATAACGGAAAATTATTATTTACAATAAAGATGTACAAATATAACTATTGCAAACGTTTGTGTCTCTATGTTTGTCACGTTTAGTTTCATCTTTTTCTTATGCATAATTGCCTGAATATCTATTCAAACAACAAAAAGTCCAAAATTAAGACATATGTTAATTACATATGTATAACAACATATATTAATTACATATGTAATATATTATATTAATTTTATTACACAAATAATACGCATGTCTAAACACGAGAAATAATAAGATGTTTTATGTCTCGTTTTTAGATATGCGTGTTGTCTGTGTTTAATAATACATACTATTAATAATACAAGGTATATAAATCGATATGTAACAAAGTGCTGTTTGACAATTTAAAAAAAAATAATGTCTTGTAGTAGGATATACTATCCGTGGTATTATCTGTTTCATTAAAATTTTATCTAGGCAAGCCATAGTTCCTGATTCATTAAGTATTACATATATCAAGAATTCTTTCTTGTATAGTAATAAAATATTTTATAATATTACTAATAATATAAAGATTTCATTTATGTTTTCACTCATAACTGCGTATCGTTGTTCTACGAAGTTACGGTATATACAGGGTGTTTCCAAATTAAATGGCAAAACTTCGGGAGCGTGTAGAGGAGTAAAAAACTAAGAAAAAAAGTCCTATAGACATATGCTCGTT